AAACAAAAATTTTAAAACCAGTGAGGTAACATTCCACCGGCTATTTGCATTTTTAGTTACTATTTCTATTATTATTCAATGTTTTCTTTTGTCTCTATAGAAATTTCTAGACTCAAATATAGTGATGTTCATTTACGATGACTGATGTTTATCGACAATAATTTTTTACTGAAATGTTTGAGTTTCTTACTATGATTTTTTAAATTAAAGTTCTTAAAATATCGAAGCGAAAAGCATTCACGTTAAATTGATTTAGTTTATTTAATTATTATTATTATTAATAATAAACTAAAATAAACATCTTATTCCAGTAACTTTAACACAACTCATATTTCGGACAACCGTTTCAATTTCATGTCAATTTGTTTGTTGCTGTTACTTGAAGAAAAATGTATGTGTATTATTGTTTTAGATATTTAAATTCCATTGCACTCGAATTTTAAACGTAGAGTATTTTTAAGTTTTTCCAATGAGTTCAAAATAGGAGAAGATTGGATTGAAGCTGCAGGAAAATTTAAATATTGGTTTTCTTATTTCTGACTTTGTTTAAATTTCATGATAGCAAATGCATTCAAAAATAAATAAAATAAAATCGGTTTTATTTTACATATGCATGCAAAATAAATTAGAAACAATTCTAGAAAATTACATAATTCCTTCATAAAAAACAACATAATTTAATTTATTAAATTCGTCGATGGTCCGAGTTTACGCTTGACAATGTCAACTTCACCAACCCGTGGTAACGTATAATGGAAAACTGACACTGGCGATGATGGCCATATCTTTTATATTATTCTTGTAAAACTGACACTGGCCCAAGCCTAGTGGCCACCATTAAGAAAATGATAATAATTTATATTAATATATTAATTTAATAATACACCAGTACCAGTGTAGGTATAGTATGAAAAATGGAATATTTTTTAATATTAAAAACAACTAACATATTTCTTTCTTTTGTAACTATCGATTTGGTAGGACCACATCACTCGTTGAGTAGCGTCAGTTAGGTAACAATTCACGGAGCGGTTTCCATCCGTGCCCGCCGGTGCTGGGGGACAGCGGTTTTATTTCAATACTTACGACCCTGCAAGTTTGTGCGGGCACGTAACCGCCGCGGTTGCGAGCACGAAACCGTTGCGATTGCGGACCAGACCGCGAAGTCAGTGGGAGTTAATCGCAAGTCGCGCGGTTAATAGAGGACTCATTGACACCGCACACCATCATGGACACCGCGTGCGCCTGCACCATATTGCGCCTGAACCGACCGCCAAAGTGCGCGCGCGACGACGGCCGCCAAGCGCACAGGTGATTGCGTCTTGCGCGGTTCTACTAGTACCTCGTCGCGGCAACCGCGAGCAACCGTCACCACTACAGGCGTAAAACGCGCCATGAAATGTGCTACTAATTTTACATACTTAACTATCACATTCTACAGATGCCGCGGTCCCGCGGCAGGCGTGGATGAATACTGCTCCGTGAGTTCTTAGTGTAACGAAAAATGAGTTTCAGCGCCATCTAACGTGTAATAGTTAGCTATTATATACTAGTACCATTTTTACTAAAACGCCACCTGATGGTGTGACTGGAAAAAAATATTGTAATATAACTCTTAATCAAATGACTGTAAGTTTAATTTTAAAAATGTGTTACGTCGTTTTCACATTTTAAGCCCTACCGAATCAAAATCTTTAAGTTATAGTAGTAGATAATAGAGCGTAAAGTTTGAATTGCACACAAGCTTAAAAGTGGCGTCATCGGTACCCGATCTTACACAGCGTCATTACATATCTCCCCTTTTTTTCTATATCTATGATGTATACATGACAATTACGAATTTAAAATCAATATGAATAAAAACAACTATTAAAATTATGCAATAGTCTACAGCATTTTGATTGATGAATGAAATGCATGATGAATTGAACTTGCAATTAAATATTAATTTAGTATTTAAATAATTATAATTTACTATTTAATTAATGTCGTTTCAGTAAGATGTGAAATGAAGATCAGGCTTTGGGTGAATCTTGTAACACTACTGCGTGGCGTTCGCATTGCTACTACAAGGCGCCGTGTGTAAGCGCTCTTATAAATTCTTACACGCATACACAATTTTGGTTATATTAGATTTCTCCATCTTAACTACTATAACTTCGAGGGTTGATGTCAATACTTTTGATAAAGTTAAGGAATGACCACCAATAGCGCCAAGACCCATAAACAATAAGAAACCCTAGATGCACCATAACACCATACGATGATAACAACTTATGCTGACCAGACCCCTATAATGGCAACGTTATATCGAGACGCAATAAATAACCATAAGAGAATTAAGGGAACTAATAAACATAATGGAACTAAGAACTCGATACATACGAGAATTGTTTTTGCATCAAAACAGACAACATTCTGGGACTGCATCTTATATTAATGGCATCCTGGCGACACACATTTACCGGCTGGTATAAAGAATCACACACCGGCGGCGGCAACGTGGCAGTTCACATTCAACAAGTAATCGGAACACAAGCTCCGAATCGAGTTACGGTTTAATTTGTAGTATTTTGTATAGTATGTTTTTAATAGAAATAATGCTAAATCGTCTAAGAATGTTTAAAAAAATATCCAGTTCAATATTCTGGCTAATTGTATCTAGCAAAGTTTTGCAAAATTATCCGTAATTATCCGTACCATGCACCGCGCGAGGGCGGTGACCCCGCCATCCGCTTCACCGAGCGATACGTAATCTTTCTCGATCGCTTATTACCTATTTTTTACATTTTGATTATGTACTAGTATTGTTATAATTTACTAATTATTTACATTAATTATAAAAGTTGACTGAAACAAGTTTTTTTGTAACTTAGATTTGGTACTTACCAACTTTAGGTTACATGAAAGTATTGCTAGAAGTACCCAGCTTCATAGCTAGTGCCTGGCTCCGTACCGGAGCCACCACCACCTGTGTAGAGATTCGCACGTGAATTGCGTTTCAACCGGTTTATTCCTTAGCTCATTTGGCATCACAACTTTGAAAGCAGAGACTTTAATTGCGCGCAATGCTTCGACTCTCGTAATCTCCTCCCCGTAAACTAAAGGTTTCACATTATGCCATAACAATAGTTACACACTTGCACTTGACGATAATGCAGGTTCTGGTGAACCTGGTAGCAGTTCTTTTTTGCAATAACTGTTATTTATATACCAAACCACGTGACACTTCGTGAGAGACTAGCTAATAGATCACCAGAGTTGCTAAACTAATGCGCTCGCTTGTAGGCGCGTGCGCTGCGTTTGAAAAAGAAAGAGATAGCAATACTTTCTCGGTTCCTCCGGCTGCGTTATAAATTTTGGTAGTACGTACCGTGCAAGTTAATGACATTTAATTATTAAATTAATAGTATTGTTTATGTCAGTTTCGTGAATTTTAAACGAGTCAGTATTAATTTTACCTTTGGTCACTGTTACAGCAACATTGTAGGCAAAGATTATACATTTATGTTTAGTTGCATCAACTATATCATTAATATAAATAATAAATATACGGAGACCCAACACACTACCATCACGAACATCTAAATTTTGTACCCCACATTGAAAACCTTACAGGCAGAATACGTAAGCTTATATACGAGTAGCTGAACCGCGTATATTAAAAATGGTGTACCTTGCATTGTGTCAATCTTTACTAGTCTACTGCATAACATCATGGGGTGGTTCATCTAAAACTCACATGCTTAGGATCGAGCGCGCTCAGAGAGCAGTTTTAAAGGTACGTTCAAACCTTTTCGTTTTCCAACAAGAGCTTTACATGAATATTGTGAGGTACTCACAGTACGCTAACTGGTTGTTCGCCAAACTATACTACGACAACACACTGCCCCTCCCAGTATATACTTTCCTTCATTGCAATACAGTAGACGTGTGAATATCTTTCCCCAAAGAGTTATCTGTAAAACTTCTTTCAGCCAAAAGTTATTTTACTTTTTGGGACGATTATTATAAGATTCTTTTGACAGATTGATTGTATACAACAAAAGCAATAATATTTTAGCGATTCATCTAAAAAATAAATATTAGTGTAAGAATGTGATAACCAAATGGCTTCTAAAACTGTCATAGGAAGAAACAGAAAATCTTCTTCATGCTGCTCAATTAAGTGTTTTCACATCAAATACGCACTCTTTTTCCAATACACACGCAAGTCACAAATTCCGCGCGCAACCCACACACACCTTCACACACACCTTCACACACACACACACACACACACACAAACACACATACATACACTTTCAGTGAGAGAATTATTTATAAAGATTGCATAATTCAGTTTAATTTAATTTTACTCATTTGCTGTCTCCACAAATTACCACTTGTTCTTATTATTTTTGCATAATGTATAAATAAAATAACGTAATAAATTATGAATTTTACTACGCCATTGGAAGGTTTGCTGGTACTTATAGCACAGGTTTTCCTTTTTCAATTACCAGCGGTCATATCTATTGATTCTTTGATACTTACTTACTGTACACTATGCATATTGTATTATTATGGCAAATAAATTTATTATTATTATTATTATTACTACCCTGCGGGACTCCATATCTATTAAATTAGTAGTCGAAAGTAAATGAGATCATCTTATTTTTCTCATTTAATAACTCGTTGTGATCTATTACTTACGTAAGTTCCAAGCCAATTTAAAGGAATACCTCTTACACCTAGAACATCCAGCTTTTGCATAAGAACATCGTGTGAAACGATGGACACATGGAACTTGACAAATTGTCTCAGGGTGTCGGGCGCAGTGGCAGGTGGTCATTTTTGTGATATAAACCTCTAAGCGCCACCGCAACTGTTATGGACAGGCGTGTCGCTTCCCACCAGGCACACGACTTATTCGTCCTGTCACTTGTATTGTAGAAAAAAAAGAATTGTAAAAAAAAATGCTTGTAGAAAGAACAAAAATGAAAAATTTTGTTCATATATTTTTGTTATTATTAAACATCGAGATCACTAAAATTCATATCAATGTCACTAACGCACTTTATCAAATCACTATCTATTTGTAAATCGTCACTTTTGTCACAATTACTTTTTCCATAATTATTCTTATCTAAATAGCTGTTGTCTACACAATTTTTGTTGCTATTATTTTGGTCAACAACTAAATGTTTCGACGGTTTGTCTCCTTCGAAGTCTAAGTCTGAAGATAGGAAGCTTTCATCTAGATATTGTGCAGTTTCATCATCTGACAGGAGACCTGGAAAAAGATTGACTAGTTAGTACAGAATGTTGGCCTCGTGTTAAAAATGTACAGAATGTTAGACTCGCGTGCCTTCAAATTAGACTCTTTCAAAAGTGCTCATATCTCGTGTCAAAAACAACTAACAAACAAATCTGTAACAAGCCGACTCGCAAGCTCCGCTATTTCGTTCCATGGCTTACTAGGCATAGCGTCTGCCACGGTTTATTGGAAGACGTTGGCTCGATTCCAGCCGGATCAAAGGATTTTATCTAAGTAAGATCTTTGTATTAATTTTTATTATTATTGTTACTTTTTGAATTTACATTAGCATTCAATAAACCCCTAAACTGACTACGACACGTCATGCAATTTTTTCTGTGATATCCTATAATTGGCAACACTTTAAAGTTCTACCATATAATATGCTTTTGGATGTCCTTTATTAATAATTATAACAAACTAGTGGAGTAATTAAAAAATAATTCATATGTATATGTATAAAAGTCATAACTAATTGCGAAAACCATAAACTAAATTGCGATGTTTTATAACAACAACTTCACAATGCCGCCTATGACATGTAAACAATTAAATTCTCGACGAAATCGTAAGTCAAGCCAAGCAACCGGGTTTGCAGTATACTTTTAGCTTCAAATGGTGAGCACAATTTTATGTCACATGATTTAAGGACGTTCTTGTATAGGTGGGCAGATATAATAAGGGAGGAAACGTTTAGCAAAGGAACTGCGTATGGTAGGAAGTGGGATACGAAACATACGTTTTGTAATTAGAGCACTGTAAGTCAACTGACCGAACAACTTGTCTATGAGTATTTATTACAGTTTTGAAGACGAAGAGCCCGCGGACAATTAGAACACCAGCCTCTCTGTACAAAACTGTAGTTGGATGTCGTCGAGGCTTTGACATAGTTTTAAGAGTAGAACGTTGAGGTCTTTCCAATTGTAACATATTCGCCTTAGTTCCGCCCTCCCAGCTAGAAATGCAATATGTTAGGAGTGATTGGCAGAGGGCGTCATAAATCATTTTTAAACCCTCTGGCGAAGCGGTATCTCGAAGAAGTCTTATTATGTATTTATTAGTATTTCCGTACACGCCCGGAAAGGAGGGTTATGTGGCGGTGAAAGTTAAGCTTCTGGCGATCCAAAACCACGCCAAGATACTTAATAGCATCAGTTCTGACTAGAGTTTCGCACGAACAAACCACTCCATGACCACCACATGTATGAGCTTTAATAGAGGGAAACGAAAATGGAGCTGCTGCCGAAGTCTAATGAAAACAGATGACTCTTTTCAACATTCAAAGTAAGCAGATTACGTTTGAGCCAATCACAGACCAGTGAAAAATCATGCTCCGCATTGCACAATGCATGGTGCCAGTCAGTACCCCGGAATATAATAGCAGCATCATCAGCAAAGCAGTTTCCGCGTTCCGGACTGGAAGATTATGGATGTCGTTTATATACACAAGGAACAGGGTTGGCCCCAGTATGTTACCCTGTGGAACGCCAAATTCCCACACCCGATCCTCACACACGCGCCCGATCCTCACACATTGCCTACGATCTGAGAGGTAGCTCTCAAACCACCCAAGAGCAGTTCTTCTGACCCCGAAGCTTCTTCAGAAGTATTGGAATGGAGACGGTATCAAACGCCCTGGGTAGGTCCAAGAATACGCCAATGCAGCTACGTGACTTATCTAAGTCAGACGATACTACAGAAGTCACATTATATAACGCTTTACATGTACGAATATTTTTTTTAAACCCAATAATTGTTTGTTTACTGTTTTCTTGAGTGTATTCCAAGTTACCATCGAGTATATTAACTAGAAATAGAGACGAAATGTCATTTTAATTTGTTTGAAAATTATGCTGCCAAATCATTACTATGATAACTGTGCTTCGATAGGCAAGCCCGAATTCGAAACAATTGACGGGTGTCGTGAAGTGATATCAGCACCATTTGACTGATGAGTTGCCAGGGATGGATGGTCCTTATTTCGCCTCTATTTCTGGTTATATACTCGATGCACGTTTTATATCACTTCCATATTACATATTATATCGTCTTCCTTGGCAATCAAATTGGGCTTCTTACATTGTGACGGCTATAATCATAGGTGCGAACCCACCTATAGGTACACACTACCACTTACCGAAATTCTTACTATTGTCACTGTTAACAATAAGAAAGTTTGGGTCGCCATGGTACTCGCCCCGTCTTACATGGCATCCAATGTGATATTTCAATGTCACTTTTTGTATGAACGCTTTGCTGCATAGCTTGCAGGAGAATCTGAAACAAGAGCTTAAAAATAAAGAAACGGGTCACTTGACAGGATCAATTGTGAAGTGAATAGATTCAGTTCTAATAAACATAAATGTCAAGAGATGGCACTGGTATACTTTTTTTTATAAAATAAAATGATGCTT